GGGAGCCCGATGCGGGACTCGATCCCAGGACCCTGGGATCATGACCTGAGCCGAAGGCAGACGCTTAACCGACTGAGCCACCCAGGCGTCCCCTAATAAAACTTTTTATTGGTGGTTTTTAAAATAGTAAATGTTGATTTTATTCAAGAGTTTGGGAAATTTGGTGTTACCCATCTTGGGAAGAAGGGAAGTTTTTAAACTGCTTTGGAAAGAACTTTTTTTTCCTAAATAGTAGTTCCTTTTAATTTCATTGTGTAAGGAATTTTTTCTTTTTCATATAAGAACACAGATTAGTTTAAAATATTTAGGTTTCTTTTTTCTTTTTTCCCTTATCTTCTGTGTAGGGTACCCCCCCACCATGTTAGTTTTAACTGGTCTGTTAAGGTAAATTTAGAGTTAACTCAGGAACATTTACCAGTCAACCTGGAATATTATTACTATAAGGACCACATTTATTTTTCCTCCACATAAATTCCTGTGAAATGAGAATTCTGTAACTCAGACTTACCAGAATATGATAAATCAATGAGAGTTGAAAGAAAACTTGGGATTACAAACTGAAGACCAAAATTGTCAATTTGTGAAATTATTGGTGGATTACAGCCAGATAGTTAATTGGGGCACAAAAAATTAGTAAGCTTCGGGGTGCCTGGGTGGCTCAGTCGTTAAGCGTCTGCCTTCAGCTCAGGTCGTGATCCCAGGGTCCTGGGATCGAGCCCCACATCGGGCTCCCTCCTCGGCGGGAAGCCTGCTTCTCCCTCTCTCACTCTCCCTGCTTGTGTTCCCTCTCTCTCTCTCTCAAATAAATAAAATCTTTAAAAAAAAAATTAGTAAGCTTCAAACTAATTGTGCATGTTTATAAACTGGGGAATGTAATTAAAATTGCTCTTTATTCATTTGGAGATCATTGATCATTAAAATAAGATTTTCCATTATTAACAGGAAATCAAGGCACCTGGCTAGCTCAGTCAGTGGAGCATGTGACTCTTGATCTCGGGGTTGTAAATTCGAGCTCCATGTTAGGTGTAGAGTTTACTTAAAATTAAATATTTATTTAAAAAAATAGGAAATCTAAATCTATTTGACTATGTATATCCTTATAGTATCATCTTAGGTTCTTAGGTTCTTAATGGATAGGATTAATAAAAACTTTTCTTTTTTTAAATTTTTTTAAGATTTTATTTTTATTTATTTGAAAGAGAGCACAAGCAGGGGGAGCAGCAGGCAGAGGGAGAGGGAGAGGCAGACTCCCCGCTGAGCAAGGAACCCGATGTGGGGCTTGATCCCAGGACCCTGGGATCATGACCTGAGCCGAAGGCAGTTGCTTAACCATCTGAGCCACCCAGGCACCCCAATAAAATCTTTTCTTAACTGATATAATTATTGATGCAACTTGATCTTTGTTCTAACTTAAGAATTGTCTAATAGATACGGGACATGAAGCAAACTACTTAGACTCGAAGTACTTAGTAAACAATGATGGTGACTAATTTTGTAGAGAGAATATTTTCAAAATAAGTAATCCTTTTTTCTCCCACTTTACCTTTTAGGAGGAAGTTAACGTCCCCAGTAGGCGGGTTCTGATTACTGGTGCCACTGGGCTTCTTGGCAGAGCTGTGTATAAAGAATTTAAGCAGAATAATTGGCATGCCTTTGGCTGTGGTTTTAGAAGAGCAAGACCAAAATTTGAACAGGTTAATCTTTTGGATTCTGAAGCGGTTCATCACATCATTCATGATTTTCAGGTATGGTTGTCTGTTTATTTTAACACATATATAAACTGTATTAAGAATTGTCTATAAACTGTATTAAGAATTGTCTGGATGATTTAGAAAATGTTCTTGCTCTCAAGGGAGTTACTGTACTTAAGCTCTAACCTATTAAAAGCAGCAAGAGTACACAGTTGACCCTTGAACAGTGCAGGGTTTAGTGCAGCCCCTGCACAGTTGAACATCTATGTATAACTTTTTACTTCCCCAGAACTTAACTGCTAATAGCCTACTATTGACTGGAAGCCTTAGCAATAACATACATAGTTGATAAACACATATTTTGTGTACGTGTTATATACTGTATTCTTTTTTGTTTTTTTTAAAGATTTTATTTATTTATTTGACAGAGAGAGACACAGTGGAAGAGGGAACACAAGCAGGGGGAGTGAGAGAGGGAGAAGCAGGCTTCCCGCTGAGCAGGGAGCCCGATGCGGGGCTCGATCCCAGGAACCTGGGATCATGACCTGCGCCGAAGGCAGATGCTTAACGACTGAGCCACCCAGGCGCTCCTATATACTGTATTCTTTTTTTTTTTTTTTTT